CAGGACTGTTGTGGAGGCCCCAGCAAGCTGCCCAGGCTTGAGTAGATCCTCACCCCTACTCCCAGCCTCAGCCCTGTCCCAGGCCCAAGGAGGCCTCTTGAGTCATTTGGTTTGGTTATCACCCCTCTCCCTGCCATACAGCCCTGAGAGTCAGTGCCTGAGCGTCCCTTGATAAAGATAGTGTTTGACTTGAAAGAATAACTTCTGATGTGCATTACTGTTTTCTGCGAGGAAATCAGCCCGGACAATCCTCTACAAACCTAGGACAGCACATTTGGCAGCTTATGATGGGAACCTGTATGATTCAGGGTCTCACTGGTGGTAGTAGGATTGGGCCCAAAGAACTGTCATGTCAATAGCAGCCCCAGCCCTTGCCTCCCTTTTTTTGCTTGCCCCAAACAGGTTGGATGCTGTAGTAGCTGACTGCTCACATAACTGATCCAGTTCCCAAGCTCATCCCCTGGATTCAGACCATTGAAGCATACATGAAGCTCTGCTCTTCCTCCACATCCCTTCAAGACTTGGGAAACAGAGCACCTGCCCCCACCCCAGTAGGATGCATCAAGATAGGACGCCAGTAGATTTCTTTCACCCTAGAAAGCAGCAGTTCACTGGATAGGTGTTTTCACGGGAATTTATGCTTCTCCTCCCTTTATTCACTTCATCACTCAATGAAGATTTATAATGACTAAGTATGTGCCTGGGTCAGACCCATATATGTCAGGTGGTGATAAGCTCAAGAAATAATGGTGAAACAGAACACAGAGGATGGGCACAGAGATGGTGGTGGTCAGAGGTAATTTTTTTGTTGTTGTTGTTATGATGATCTGTGAACAAAGACCTGATGCAGGTCAGAAAGCACACTATGTGAATACCTGATAAAAGAACAGTCTAGGCAGGTGGATTAGCAAGTGCAAAGGTCCTGAGACAAAGGAGCCAGAAGACAAAGGAGGCTAGATGGCAGAAGGTTGGGCTAATAATTTTCAACCTTCCAGGTCATGGTAAGGAGTTAACTTTTCCTCCAAGTATGGAGAGTAGTCATTGGGAGGTTTTGACCAGAGGAATAAAACGATCCAGTTTAGATTTCAACAGCATTATTCAGACTCCTAGTTCTAGAAAAACTGTTCTAGAAATGAATGGAAAGAGACCAGGCTGGGGACTCTTTCAATGATCCAACCATGACGTTGAGATTTTGCTAAATGATAAAGATATGATGGGTTGGATCAGTTTGATTGGAATCCAGTTGTGGATATGCTAAGTCTGAGTGAAGATGTTGAGTAAACAATCAGGTCTACAAGTCTTACATCTAAGAAGTTTCATCTGTAGATATGTTTAAAGATGATATTCAAAGCAGCAGGACAGAGAAGAAAATCATCAGAAGCACGAGTATAACTCAAGGAAGAGACAGGAAGAAGAAAGAGAGGAAAAAGAAGAGATGTGAGACCCAAACCCAAGCCTCAACAGTTGGAGGTTAAGGAGCTAGAGAAGGCCTCCAGTTGAGAAAGGATTATCACAGAGATGGGGTAAAACCTAGGAAGATGTGATGCCCTTGGAGCCAAGAAAAAAGGTCCTGATGGGTGAATACAGTGATGTCAAATACTATAGTGAAACTCAGTAGGCTAGAGTTTAAGCTTTGACCATGAGATTTAAAAGCCTGAAGATCACCAGAGCCCTTGATTAGAGTTTTCCCAGTGGAGAGAACACTGATTTAAAGTGGGTTCAGAAGAGGAGGGGATGAAAAAAATAAGGAGGAAAAATGAGAATAAATGAATACACACAAATACACACACACACACACACACACACACACACACACACACATACACATAAATGTTTGGGTTTTTATTTATTTGAAAGGTAGGGAGAATCAGACAGACAGAAACATTCTCTCTGCTAGTCCACTCCCTGAATGCCTGCAACTACTGGGCCTATACTGAAGCTGGGAGAAACTGCCAGGCAGGAGCACCACCCAGGTCTCCCTCGTGGGTGGCAGGGACCCAAGTACTTGGGCGATTACTGCTGCCTCCCAGGATACTCATTAGCAAGAAGTAGAGTCAAGAGCAGAGCCGGGACTCAAACCCAAGCACTTTGACACCAGGGGTGACTTGATACACCCAATGCCCCCACAGAGTAATCATTTTGAGGAATTCACTGTGGAATTGCAACACCTCACATTTTGATGTGGCAAAAGGCGCCCTAAGCTTGAATGAATACCCATGCCAGTGCAAAAACCAACAGCTCACCAGACATTGCATTCCCATCTGCCTCCACTGAGAATTTGCCATGGATAATAATTTTTTTTTATTTAAAAGGATGTTTCTATAAAAGAGAATATCTCCTCCTTCTTTCTTTTATTAGCAGTGGAAAAAACCTCATTACACAGTTGAAATCAACCAGATAGCTGTCTAATGAGTGGCCTCTATCCAGAATATTCCTTGATATTAGTGTTGGAGGATTCCAAACTCTGAAACTTTTACAGAAAATTGAGGAATCTTAATTTTTCCCAGATAAAAAAGAAAAGAGATATATGAGTTTTCATAATTCATCTATAAAAAGACTTATGGTTCAAGTGTAATATACTGAACTATCAAACTATTGAAAGACTTTAAAGCAGTGTGCTTCCATCGGTATCATCTTACTTGGTCTTGATAGTCACGTAAGGTATCACAGGAGTTATTATTTCTATTTCACACACCCAAGAAGAAAACAGAGATCCAGAGAGGTCAAAGCCTTGTCCAAATCTACTCAGAAATAAAAGACATTCATCACAGTGTTTTTAAGACACAGCTCAGGCACCCACATACCACAATGCTAGACCTGAGCTTGAGTATCAGCTCAGCTTCTAAATCTAACTTCTTGCTAATGCTCAACCTTGGAGGCAGCTGCTGATGGCTCAAGTACTTGGGTCTCTGCCACCCATATGGGAGATCTTGATGTAGCTTCCAGCTTCCTAGCTTTCATCTGGCCCAACCCTGACTGTTGTGATTTCCACATCCTGGACTGGATGCCTGTTCCCAAATCAGCTCTGTGGGTTCACATTGGGTGAGAATGGAGGACCATCTCTAAAGTGTCTCTGAAAAAAAAAAAAAAAACTTGAAGAAAAATGGAGCCATTACTTGAAAAGCTTGCTTTTCTTCCTGTTTTACAAATGTTCCAGTGATGGTTGTCAAGATCTCCCACCAACCATTTGGAGATTGAATCAGATCACTGGCAAACACCCTGTTTTTAATCAGAGCCTTGCTGCACCATGGACTGCACTGTGATGGAAGGATGCCCAGAAATGTAAAGTCCTAACTATAATAAGCCTGCACTGGCTTTGACCTCATGTCCAAAGTGCTCAGTTTGGAAAGTTATTAATGTGCAGCCATTGTGTATTGATTTATTTTAACTAACCAGCAACAGCAATTGTGGTATTGAAACCCACCACAAAGACAGAGATCCACAGCCGAAACCAAAATCCAGAAAGCAAGTTAAATTTCCACACTCATTTGTTTGATAAGAGGGGAACTTCCAATAAGTCAGAAAATTAATAATGATGTAATGAAATTGTGGAGAGGAAGTGGAATTACTCATTAGGAAATACCAGGGTAGAGTGTCACTTTACTCTCCATGCCCAAGAAAATCTGAGTCCAATTAAAGATATAAATGTGAAAATTAAGAAGAAAGAAACCAGATATAACAGGAAGTTTTATTCTTTAATTTGAACTTGAGCTAGGGAGAATCTGCCACCCTCCACACACAGGGGAGCTGTGTACGAATATATTAATGAATGTGAACTCTAAATGTGCTTGTGTTTTTATTCAAATAGAGCCCTATCCCATTGTCTTCCCCACCCTCATTGCTAAGTTCTATTTTCCTCTCTTCCCCTCCATTCCTAAGACTTTCTGAGATTCAAGGAGAATGAGGAGAAAACTCCATGCTCTTGTTGAGAAAGGGAAAAAGAGACCCAGAAACAGAAAACAGCTGATTCTGTAAGAACAAGTAAGAGCAGGAAAGAGTGAGACTTGTAGGGTCTAAATCCCAGCTCTGTCATTTATGGTGTGACTTTGAGCAAGTCATCTCCCCTCTCTGAACATCAGTTTCTTTATGTGTAAGTGAGGAAGGAAATCACAGCTGGCCTGCTATCAGATCGTGGGGACTAAAGGAGCTAACCTGCATAGTGCAAGGAACAGTGTCAGTTCTGCGGTAAGCCCTTCTGGAAACACCAGGATGTTATCAACTGTGTTGATCAGCACTCCCCAGTCATGGAAGACAAGCCTCAAAAAACACTTATTTTCGACTAGAGCTGAATAATTGTGTATAGTTCCCTAGAAGTTCTCTTAGAACTGTTATTTTATGTGAGTCCCACAACAACACCGGGATGCAAACAGGAAGCATAATTGTATCCATCTCAAAGATAATGAAAGTGAGATGTGTAAGGTCTTGAATTCAGCTACAGAGAAGTGGGACCAGATTCAAATGCCCTGGCTTCTCCAGCACCCTTTGACAGAGTCCTGCACTATATGAAAAACCTTCATCCTGCTTTCCACCAAATAAGCAAGCACTTTGTTCTTTCATCAACAGCATCCATTTAGGTAGCCTATGGTTCACTTTCCTTATCTCATTTAACCCATGGAACAATCCTGTGGGTTAGACATTCCATGAAGAAATCCAGGCCTAGAAAGGTTAGATAAGGATCCCAAAGTCACATCAGGGTAAAACAAATCCGTGTTCAAACAAGGCCTATGTGCTGGGGGATGGGACTGTGGAGGTAAGCTCAGATTTTTTACCATTATTCTAAACCAGGTATAGAGTTGAAAAGCACAAGTCTTGGTTCTTCTTGTCTTCAAATACTTAATCTACATCTTAGAAATATGCACAACTCAAAAAGGCAGCACTAGAATTGAGACTCGGGCTGGCTAATATGGGTTCCGTGTTATCTTCCAATTAGTTCCAAAAAAGTAAGACTAAAATGCTAAAGGATATTAAAATGCTAAAATAAATTAAATATAATAACACATCGCATATCAAATATTGTTATTCTAATATTAAAATACTGAAGCAAAAACACTGAAGTAGGCTACAGGGGAACCACAGATGGATCCATTGCTTTTATTAATACATGCATAGATTCCGCCCACATGTGTTGAGCACCTGGTGTGTGCCAAGGATCATTGCAGACACTCCAGAGACATAAGCCACATCCTACCAAAAAGTTTGCAAAAAGGTTGGGGAAAGGAGACAGAGTTACACAACAAACTGAGTAGTCCATGAAGATGAAAGTGAGAGTTCAGAGAGTTGGTTTGGGTTCATGCTTTCAAGAGATGGATCCCAGGTCTCTGCCTTCAAATCATCCTAGATCTTTTGAAGGAGGCCAGAGGCATGAATCACCAATAGACAAGTTCAAAGGCAGAAGTAAGTAGTGCAACTAATCGTAGTAAGGCTATCCATGAATTGCCAAGTGAGGGATTTGGACACAGCACCATTTTGGAAGGGTTGGTGGGATCTGGGGAAGGTTCATGGCAGGCATCTGTGCCTAAGCTGGTAAATCTGTGGCTTAGAGCCACACTTCACTGTGATGTTCCAACCATTCTTTTCCAATGGAGATGGAGAAAAGCAGTTTTTACAAATACAATAAAATAAAGGAAGAAAGACTGTGTATCCTGCTCACACTGTTGCCTCCTCCACCCACAGTCCCTCTTGCAGGAATTATCAGATTGCCTCTGGCCACTGGCCTTTTCCTGGATTGCCTGTTTCAGAATTCCCTGTGTCAGATGGAAAAAGAGGCAGGAAAAAAAAATTGTGAGGATATGTTCCTTTTGCCAGGCTTGCCCCCTCCCCAAATCACTTTTGACCCCACTGTAAGGAGACAATATTGAAAATACTCAAAAATAACCCCCACTAAAAAACATGAATCAAAAAGTCACGGCTTGTGGACATGTTTTTAAAATTGCTTAGTTGCATGCAAGTCCCTTTAGTGCTCCAAGGACTTTAATAAAATTGATTTTCTGAGTATACCCTTTTAGCAGCTACTGTATAAGCTTGAAATATGAACCCTTCATTGTCCAAAGTGTTTCATTTTTGCCCTGTTACTAATGATGAAGGGAAAGTGTGGGTTTAGAATTCTCCATGGCTGACATTCTCGTAATTAAATAGCATTAATAATAAAGCTTTGCAGATTTTAAACAAACTGGCACAGAGGTGGGATGCATTATTGTATTTCATTTAGAGACCACAGCAATTAGCCCTGAGTGAATAGCATACAGAGACATAGAAGGGACTTCTTTCTATCATTTATTCGCCACATCACAAAAGGCAACATTTTCATTCTGCTGATTGAGGATGATGCTCAGGCATGCTTCGGAAGGCCTCTAAGTAATTGCATTGCGAAACTTAAATACATACAAATAAAGAGGGGGACATTAATTGCTTTTAATATCCAGGGTCTAATTGCAGCCAAACGTAAGCACCCTGAGAGCCAGAGAGCTCAAACTCTACAACAATGGATCAAAAATAGAAGACTCATCACGGCTGATATTTTTAGATGCTGATGTTTTTGTTTTATAACTTTAGGAGAGATTTGCTCCCGGGCGCATTGTGACTCGGCTCTGTGAACTGGCACGGGGCTGTTTTGATAGAGGTCTCCTGGGTGGGATGACTGTGAAGCTGTTGCCAAAGGAAGATGACAGTGCTTACCCTGAAGGTGAGACCAGAGAAAGAACTGCTCCACTGTCAAGGTCGTGAGTGACAAAGGAGTGCTTATCCTTTTATGGTCGGCCTGGGAGCTTTGAAAGAGAAGGAAGGATACATTATTTTTAAAAACATAGATGGGTTCTAGAACTATTCTTACACACTTGTAATTATTATTTCTCATCTTTGAGATTCAATGCTCTGATTTGCACATTACACCAAGGAAGGAGCGGGAGGAAATAGTGTCTTAGCTAGACCAAACATCACTTGGGCAACCTGTAAAGAGGATTCAGTGGAATGTTCTGAATAGAAATTTCCAGGGAAAGGACTTCAGTCCTTTGGGCTTTGGTAAAGCATTTGGCAAACACTCACACAGGACATCTCAAGGCCAGCCGTACTCCGAAGCAGAGTACTGTGGGAGAAAGCAGGTGTTGCCTGGCTAGGGTAACTTGAGCAAATCCCCAGACCCAACATAAGAAATCTCTGTCAATCGCAGCCCTGCCCAAGTTCCCCAAGGGACAGTTTCCCCTTCCATGGACTCAGAATGAGCCAGGCTTGTCATCAGGGGGCTGAAAAAAAAATGTTCACAGGTGCTGAAGGTAGAGTAAGGTGAGGACAGGGGATAAAGCCTGAGGCACAGCCAGAAGGCCACAGCTGAACTCACGTCTGTGCCCTCAGTTCCTAAGTGAGGGCCCTATCGCCTTGGGGTCTGAACTGCCCCCAGGGAAAGGAAAGTGGTTGATAGGAGCAGATGCTGAGGGCCCCGGGGCTGTTCTTGCAGGGAGCTGAAGACTGGCTGTGGCTTCTGCTTGGGAAATCTGGCCTGTTTTGCTTGAGAGGAAGGGCCTGGGCAAAGTACCCTGGGGTTCAGGAACTTAGCCTTACAAGACTGGGAGGTCATGCTGGCCCTGCTGGCTACTGGGATGCCATAGCTTTTGAAACCTTAATTGCTACTTCTTTGATTTGATCTCTTCTCCCTAGTCTTTCAAATACCACAACTGATTCCGCCCCCCCCCCCAAAGCTGAATTGAGAGAAGACACATATTAATTGGGAAAGACTTTCGGCTTTGGGGAGTACAGCTGGGTATAACCTTTCCAGATTGATGCCAGAAACTGGAGAAAAACAGCAACTGAGATGAGGAGCACTCAGGAACCCCAGGAGGCAAGCTTTACTCCAGCCACCATGTGGCCAGAGGTAAAAGAAACATTTATTCTCCGTAGACAGACGATATGGATGGCACACACAGTTCTAGAATAAGAGAGAATCGTAGGTGCAAAGAAATGAGTGAGGATCATCAGAATCACCTTGGATCTTCCTAAAACTCCTCTTTAGGCTCACCTCATCCCTCCTTACAAAGCCTCCTGGAGTCTGTAACCACCGAACTCACTGTACTAACCGTTTCTAAGTGCTCAGGTGCGCATTCACTCATTTATGTGGCTGTGTAGTTACCACCGCTCTCTCCATCGACAGAACTCTCTCTTTGGTCAAATAGAAACGTGGGATTTATTCATCATTTAGTTCCATTTCCTCGCACTCATCGGGCAATCATCATGTCTGTCTTCCTGAGTCGGACTACTCTAGGGATTTCATATATCTCAAATAAGTGGACTCACACTATATGTGGCCTTTTGTAACTGCCTTATTTCACTAAGCACCATGTCCACAAGGTCCCTCCTACGGAGCAGAATCTATTAGCATTTATTTCCACCTTAAGACTTAGAATCATTTCATCGTGTACATCTATTTCACATTCTGGTTTCAGCATTTGCTGATTGACCCTTAGGTTGTGTCCACTGTGGATAATATTGCTATGAACTACTATGTTTATCTCTTTGTACAACAGCCTCTTTGAGTCCTGTTTTCAATTCTTTGGGGTATATACTCAGAAGTGGAGTTGTTGGATCACATGATAATTTAATTTTTAATTTTTAAAGGAAATACTATCCTGTTTTTCCCATTATACATTCGCACCGACAGTGCTTATGTCCTCCAATTCCTCAACATTTTTACCAACACATGTTACTTGCCGCTGTTGACACAGAATCTTGGGTGGTTTTAATTTGCATTTCTCTAGTGCTTGGGACTGTTGAGCATCTTCTCACATATCTATTGGCCATTGACGGATCTTTCTGGAAAGCCATCTATTCAGGTTCCTTGTCCATATTCAATCAGGTTGTGACTTCTTATTGAGTTGTTGGAGGTCTTCATGTGAGAGGGCTCTTCAAAAAGTTTGTGGAAATGCATGTTATTTAAAAAGCTTTGTGTGAATATCATAATCTTTGTACCAAAACAAACTCAGACTTTCATTTTATATGAACTTTCGAAGTCCTTTCATACACTTTGGATATGAATTCCTTAATACATATGTGATTTGTATTTTCCTCCATTCCGTGGATTGCCTCTTCACTCTGTTGATTGTGTCCCTTGATGTTCAGAAGTTTAAAATGATCATCAACTTCCATTTACTTATTTTTTTTTCTTTTGTTTCTTACAAGATGCCATTGACTAAGTAATTTGATGTACTCCAATTTGGCAGCTTTGAAACTGGTCTCTGTTTTAAACTTAAAAAAAAAAAAAAAGTAGCAACTCTCTCCCTACTTCTATTTCCTCAAACAAAAATTCAGCAGGAAACCTGTTTGTAAAAGACAGAAGAACCGCTCATGATGGATGGTTCCTGTGCTCCCGTTCCCAGTAATCTGCCAACATCGCCGAAGCAATTCCCAAGGAACTTGCACACATTTCAAAGTTGCAGTTTTGATCACCAAATTCCCCACATTTTCAAGAGTTCAAAGGAAGGAAATTGGGTGACCCTCTGTTGCCTGCTGCTTCTTCCTCTGTTTGCAGGCAGCTGAGGGCATCTGGGGAGTTGTCCAGAGCACATTATCAGCCAGAGTTCATGTGACAGCCCCTTTGATTCATGGCTGGTCAAGATAGTCATTTGGCCTAAGGATCAGCAAAGAAGAGATTCCTGAGTGCTATGGAATGAAGGCATGCCCCACCCAATATCACATGATGAAATCCCAACCCTGCAGCGTGATGGTATTCAGAGCTGGGGACTTTGAGAGAGATCAGGAGGTGCTGAGGGTGGAGCTTCATGAGTGGACTCCAAGTCCTTGTGAGCAAAGAGAAGAGAAAGCTTACACACTCTCTCCTTCTCTCCATGGGATGAGAAGGCAAGGACAGGGCAGTTCCCTGCACACCAGGAAGCAAGCTCCCACCAGTCACTAGGTCTACTAGCATCTTGAGTTCCAACCTCCAGGAATGTGAGAAATCAACATGTGTGGTTTAAGTCACCCACCTAGGAAATTTGTGATAGCATTTAGGAAGTGACTGAAGTGGTGCATGTGGCTGTCTTTGGAGTAGTACAATGTTCGCATAAAATAACGACATCGCTACTTTGGTGTTAACATTTGCTTCACAGCACATTTTGTAGATAAGAAGGTGATGAGAGTTATTATTTATTTTTCAGGGGAAAAAAACCTGCCCAGATTTAACTAGGTAATTAAGTAATTCACAAAAGATCCAAAGTGGGACGATGACTACACCATGACTGATGATAAAGAGTAGACCCTAAGGTAAGTGATGATCAGGGAGAGGAGACTGTTTAGAGTCCTGTTACAGTTCTATTTCAATATAAATAAGCTGACACCAAAAGCAAGCTATTAACCCCAAAGCCGCTGGCTGTTCATTAGCTAAGGAATAATTTTACATTTCATTATTATTCATGTTGGCTAAATTTTCATTAAAACCAATTTAGTAAACTGGCCCTCTGATAGGCTTGAAATTAAGAGAAAGAAGAGAAGGTGGGGAGGGAACAAAACAGAGCCTATCCTTGAAGCACCTAGGGATGGGAAATTCAGGAGGGCAGATTGCCACCTTAATTAAAGATAATGTCTCAATTCACTTTCAAAATGACTCTCCAGAAAATTCCTGGGAAAGGTTCCCAGGGCACAGCGTCTGGCTCATTCACCAAGTGGGCACTGGGATTTCTGACTGTGTGGAGGACCAGCAGGGTCCCTTCCCATCAGCTCAGCCTTGCCACAGCCCCAGGTTCTCTGCTAAACACTCTGCAGGGAGGAGTAGAGTGCCTACAAACCTCCCAAAATGGTTGTGGTTCAGCCTTTGCATGGAATTTACAAACTAGTATTTAACCCTTTGAATGGAACCATCATAGCAATGCCTCTTTTAGTTCCTGTTTAAGGGGCTGCCCTTTAGGCTAAGTCCTAGACCAAAGACTTTCATGAACTAACTTGTGTAATTCTCCTCTCCTCTCTAATGAAGTAAAGTCCATGATTAATCAATCCCATTTTAGAGAGGGGAATGCTGAGACACAAGGAAAAGGTAAGCAACTGATGTTGCACAGCTGAGATGGTACAGAGCTGGGGTCCAAGGCACTTCCTTGACCATAGGCCCAAGTGCACCACCACTGTGCTGATTCTTTATCAAATAATGACACAACGTATTTTGCTTCGGATGGGGAGGTAGATGATCAGCAGAGTTTCTGGCAAGTGGTTAGGGGGACAACTCCGCAAAGGTGAATGGAAGATACATTGTGGGGAGCTTTGAATGCAGGCAGAGAGGTTTGAACTTGACTTTTCTTAGAGTTCCTGAAGCGCATAGATCAATTGCTTAGGACCCTTGAATAGAATATTAAAAACAGAGTTTAGTAGTCATGCATTTATTATATGGTTCTTTGCACAGGAGTTTTTTCTTTTTCTTTTTTTTAAATCTATTTTTATTGGAAAGGTAGATTTACAGAAAGGAATGACAGAGGGAAATATCTTTCTTCCACTGGCTTGTTCCCTAAATGACCACAATAGCCAGAGCTGAGTCAATTCTAAACCAGGAGCCAGGAGTCTTCCAGATCTCCCACATGGATACAGGGTCCCATGGCTTTGGGCCATCCTCTGCTTCATTCCTAGGCCACAAACAGGGAGCTGGATGGAAAGTGGAGCAGCCAGGACATGAACTTGCAGGCAGTGGGTTAGTAAACTGAGCCATCGTGTTGGGTTCCAAGGAATTTAACTTGAGCAAACAATTGGGGAAAAAAAAGACATCCCTAATTAAGAAAAAGTAAAATAATTTTCAAGGCTG